TGTGGAAAGGTCTTACTGGAAGAGGTTCAGGATCAGCATTAGTGGTTCGTTGGAATGACCGAGGCGGCTATACCCACTGGCTTCAAAAGTACGAAGGCACGCTGAAGAGACTGGTCGAGCACCAGAGCCGCTTTAGCATAGCGGCCGAATACGTTCGAGATGCCATCGGAAAGCTTACGAACTTGAAGAGCATCAAGATCAATCCTCGTCCTATAGGAGCATATTACGAAGAACGATTCGCCAAGCCCATACTACGGAGTCGGGGTACCATGTCGCTCTATCGCGCAGTCGGGGCACACGCTATCGAAGTGACCACCGATTTGGCCCCATCTGGTTCGAAAACTCTATTAGAGTTTAGCCTCGATGGCCTTCTCTTCATGGAGTATTACGCCGAGATCATCATGCTGGAGAATCTCTCGAAGATACTGAGCACGGTTGACTTGGACAAGCTCACGGTTGACCTGACAATCACCGCGGCGAACCTTCCATCGAACGGCAAGATTTACGATACTGGCCATCAAAGCTGGAGAGCTATAGCTCCTCGGATACGAAGTCTAACCTTCGATTGCGCAATGAGTGATATCGATGGCGGCGAGGTTCCTGCCTTGCTAACATGGATATCGGAGATGTTGATCTATGCTACTGCAGTCGAGCACTTCTATGGACGCAGCTGTGACTTTGAGTACCGGATGTTGCGGACTGTCTTTGTGCAGTCTTCCTGGACCAGTCTTCGAACGTTACATCTCTTCCGGTCTTGCAGTCACGGGCGCAATTTGCTTCGGATGCTTCTCCGTCATCGCTCAACATTAGAAGATGTGAGCTTTTCGCATGTCACAGTCACAGGTACGAGCATAGCAGCATGGAGAGACGTATTCGTGGCAATGAAAGACATGCATCGGCTCGGGCGTGTCACGCTTGAGCAGCTCGAAATACAAGGCGACCTCGATATGTCTAGCAATGCGCCATACTCATGGGCTTCTAAGCCACTCACATCTGATCGGCTGAAAGCCAAAGGGTACGAGAAGGTTCGCTCGATGCTGGACTTCGTGACGCAGCGCATACTACTTCTTTCGGGTCGAGAGATCATGTTCTGGCAAGTCCATTTCGAGGTTCCTCCATGAGAAATTTTGTGGCACCAACTTCATGAGATTGCGAACTTAGCCGCTTCTACGGATTCCAGAAGCAAAGAACTATCTTACGAAGCTGCGATTCGAGTCATCTGTTTGGAAGCGCTAGCCGCGCACACTGGGCGAGCTCAGGTAGGAGAAGAGGGTCCGACTGTAGCTCCAGTCATGACCTAGGTAATTGTAACTCTCTTGGAATCAAGCCACCCATTCAGAGTCAAGTAATGTCGCTAAATGCGTCTTCTGGTACTATAACAACACGCGATTATCGACCAAGTGCATCTGAGTAGAACAACGAGTGCGCGTACATGCGGAGGTTCGGATGCACAGCATGCAGCACGGGACTACCCTTGGTTCTATGCCATGATGACATTGTCACATCACTCAATTCTTTACTCTTACCAATGCAAAACATCAGCTTACGAAGAATAGTAAGCATGCCAATGAGGTATCAGACAGTACAACGCAGGTTTTCGCCATGCCCGCGTATGCTAATCCTCCAGTATGCAGGGCTGACCAAGCTGGTACATATAACTCGGCAATGCAGCATTATCATACGCTCTACTCATGGTGGGGTCACCATTGGCGTGGTAATACTCGAGCTTCTACTGGCATCTCTAGATATAGGTTACAGGTAGCGACGCCGCGAACCCTGGTACCATATACGGGGCCACCGTGCTAGATCGCACCTCATTAACAACAACCACGGGTCTATAAAGGCACACGACTTTATTTAAACCCCCGAAAAGTCTTCTTCATTAGCGATTCTAATAGCTTCAACGCGATCACAATATTCACGATACAAAACTTCCCGACCAGAAACCCAAGATCTGGTATCAGCACACATATATTAATCGCTTGCCATGTCCTCAAGCGCTTCGATCAACTCGGTTGATTCTCTCGAGGAACTCTATGGCACCAACACAGCTACCGTCTCGCATGTTGTTGAAACGCCCATGGAAGAGGTCCGACGCTTCTTCCTGGGCAAAAGCCATACCCAGATATTGAAGTATGGCCTTGGTATGGAGATACCCGGCGCACCACCACTAGCGGCGCATACCATCGTTGTCACCATGGATTGCGAAATGCACGAGATAGAGCCACGAGTGCTGACAGAATATGGCCTCAATACGTTTTCGCGGAAAGAGATGGCACCAGTTCTCAATAATCCCGGTAAACATGGAGAAAACGTCTTGCAGAACATTTACTACTACCACATTCGTATCCTGGAGAACGCGCACCTTATCAACTTCAGGTACGTCCGAGGAAACCCCGAAAGAAATCACTTCGGCTCAACGCGCTTTGCCACGAAGGAAGACGCAAAACAGTTCCTGATCGAAACACTCGCGTGGCCTGTCGATGATGACAACGAGGATGGTCGTAAATGCCCAGTCATATTTCTCGGCCACTCAGTCAAGAATGACCTTCGCATGCTGCAAGAAGAGCTTGGTATCGACCCCAAATTCGACAGCAACGTCGTCGCCATCATCGATACCCAGAAGATTGCGAATGAGCAGGGTATCCGTGGAAAGGGTCAGCAAAAGGGCCAGCAAATCGCACTAAAAACTTTGATCCCACACTTTGGCGTGGAGTTTCGCGATGGTCATACAGCTAGTAACGATGCGGCGTACACCATCATCAGTGCCGTACAGATGGTCTTGAAGAATTCGCTGCCGAACGACCCAACCCGCTCGCTGCAGGACGTTGTGGACGGTGTCGCGAAGGATAGTAAGGGGACTGTTGTGGCATTTGGGGTGCCTAGATGGTGCACTGAATGTAAGGTTGCCAGCCATCTTGTTCAGCCAGGATGCAGGAAAAAGTTCATGAAGATAGAAAGAGGGATGAGGAGTGATTCTTATAAGCGACCATGATCGCGCTGCTTGCACGCGTTCTATGATCCTATGTTTACCGATGGGGTGTTGGTGGAGGCGTGGTGGTGGGCTGACGGGCATTAACTTCCCTATTTCTTGAAGATGTCGCTTGGTGGTCACTTCAGACCAACACGCTGTATTAGTCTTATTACAGTGTATAGTATTGACACCTCAATTTATCTCGACTACCACCGCATTCACATGTTGCTCTCCCCACCAACCGCGCGATCGCTCGAACTCGAATCCCATACCCTTGTTATCCGATCTAACAGCACCTCCCCTTCTTCCCAGCTCCATTCCAATAAGTCGTCGTCACATAGCCTCCTTGGTCGTTCCTCTTCTTCTCTTTAGGCCAGCAACATGCCATGCACACGAGGATGAAGAAGAGAAGCGCAACCGTGGCTGCAAGACCAATCATGATGGCTTTGCCGTGAACACCAAAGTAGACATACTCGTTGGGATTGGTGGAAGCGGCGCTTTCTGCTGGCGAAGTGGAGGTTCCCACAACAGAGGTAGCGAGTGTTGTCGTTGCCATGGTTGCTTTTGCTTGGGATAGATGGCTGTGATATCTGATGTCAGTCGTCATGGCTGTAGACTGATGATGATGGGCTTTGTACCTATGAGAGTTTTGATCTAATGCCAGTCTGATGTGTAGCTTCTTCAATGCTAGATCACCTCTAAGGTGTGTGAGGTCGAGCTGTCAGTACGCATAGAGCTACAGCGTGCTTTTATCCGTGGACTCAAAGGCTTCTGCGCACGGTATCCTCTCGCGACTTCCACTTTGACATGGTCAAAGGTCTCCCCAATATTCTGTCTCAACTTACACAACCTGCTGAGCTCGGTTATTGAAACGCGCTGTTTACACAACTTCTCGCGAGAAGCAGTGATCTTTTGGAATATCATGCAGCTATCCTTCCAAACAGGTCCATAGCCACAAAGAGGCCGGCCTCAGCGCTTGCTAATCTCCCAACGAGTTGAGAAAATGCCCGATAGGGCTGAACGGCCGACCCGTCAATACTTACACTAACGGAAAACTGCATGGAAGGTTGGTAGAAGGCCCAGACATGGTGGGAAGAAGGTGGTGTGACCTTGTTCCCAGTGAAGAAAGATAGAAAGGCGATATAGCCCGTTGAGTAGAGCGACACTCAGTATCTTTCAGAGTGAGCTGATTATCCAACAGCGTTTCTCGATCCTATGTCGGGCTTCGTTGCGTCCTTCTTGTCCTGAGCTGTAGTGATTCTGCCTTGCGACAACATTGTTCCACGATCCAATAAAACGGATGTCACTTCACGAAATGTTACGCGAACGTGGCGCTGCAACGGCGATGCATGTTTGTACATAGCTCCAGTGAAACGGACCCTTACAGACACTGCAGTCGAGATGCTTACTGGACGTATCCTTGTCTATACACGCTTTTGAATTGGAGAGTGAGACGAGAACTCAAAAGAACATTCATCGCGAACTTGAAGTCTAACGGCGGATTATATTCTGTGGCTTGAAACTTGCCGTATAATATCGCTCTCCATTACTAATTACCTCTGATCGTACATTAACTGTCTTACTACTTCCGGTTCACCTCTGGCAGCACAAAATCAGAAGTTCGTAGATACCCCAGGTCGATGTCCTCTATGCATATCCGAATCCTCCATCTCCGCGACGCCATTCGGTACGTTTCCTTGACTTCTTGGATCAAGCTGCGGCGGAAGTAGAGGCTCGTTGTGCAGTTCAGCAGCTTCATGAACAACACCGTGAAAGCCATCAGTACCAAGCTCACTCATCAGACTCATGGTTCCCGCACCATGTAGTTCGGCCGAGCGTGTGGAGCGTAGAGGTGCGTTCGTGCCAAGCTCACTCACCGGACTTCTCACTCCCTCACTGCGGAGATCGGCGCTGCTTGTCCTGATAGTAGGTCCGCCGGAAGGCGAGTTTGCATGCCAGCCTTGCATTGTCGAAGCTTGAGAGATGGGCGACGTGGGTGAAGACATGCTCGTTACGGCGTGTGAACTCAGCTCAGGGTATCGAGAGTCCATATTGCTTCCATGTCCATGCGGTTCAGATGGCTGTGCCGAATTGTAGTATCGCGCGTTTTCGCCGCCTCCACCATGCATCTCCGGGGATCTGAAGTAGCCTGTTTGGGGACGTGGCATTGGCATATCCTCGCTGTGTAATTCGGCTTTCGAGCGTTGACGCACCGGCACGCCGGCTCCCATCTCCGAGTATCGGCCGAAGCTCGAATCATGCTGGATGTTTGGTAGTTTAGGCTTCGGGCTGGTGTTGCGAGAGGGCTCCCATATATCTGCTGGAGACGCAAGTGAAGATTGGCGTTTGCGACGACGCATAAAGAGGAATATGAGGCCAATGATGAGCGCAATACCCACGGTACCGCCTGCTGCTGTGCCAGCGATAGCGGTGGTGCTGAGTGTAGGGCCAGCAGCGGCAGTGACGGTAGATTGAGGTGCGCCGTTCGAGGTCGCAGTGACAGTGACGTGTGAGTGGACAGTCACACCATTCTGTCCCTTCGACGTAGATTGTGCAAGACCAGTTTCGTTCGGGAGCGGCGCCGGCCCAACTGATGTCGTCCCTCCTTCTGTTGTGGAGCTCGGTGGCGTTGAAGTCGCTGACAGTGATGGCTGGGAAGATGTGTCTGCCAACTGTCCTGTGTCTGTAGAAGTAGCGACCGATGTTATTGGGACTTCAGTGACGGTACTATCCGTAGAATCAATGGGTGCATCTCCTCCCGATTTTGTTGACGCGTGTGGATCACTGGTAGATGATAGCACAGTTACAGTAATTTTCGCAGTACTACTCGATGTTGTGTCCTTGAGCAAGTCCTTGTAGTTGAAATAGTCCTCGCTAGATATGAATCTGACATTTTTGTCCTCGCACGCTGCGAAGAATAGATTCACATAGTCTGCGGTCTCTTATTAGTATATCTGGATCAAGTGTGTCGCGCACATGAGAGACTTACCTTGTCGGTCTGTCAAGCTTGGACATGCACCGAGAATACACGGACCAAACACGTTGAAGTGTATGGGGATAACCTCTGGAAGGCTACAAAAGCCAGCGAGGTTATCGGCGCAATTGCCATCGAGAAACTTGCCTTCGCCGACGAGACATTGCCTCTGGCACTAGTGTCAGTGACATAGTTTACTAGAATAGCTGCATGGCCAGTACAAGCAACTTACAGTACAGTCAGGAAGCGGTAGTGGTGGCTTCGGAGGCACACAGAATTGATCACGCGCTTGCGCCGCGACGATGCTGATCAGCAAGAATAGCACGTAAAGTATCATGTCGAACGTAAGCGTTGATGGCTAGATCGAGTCGAAGAAGAAGAAGAAGCCCATCAAGAGCAGAAGAGATTCAGCCTTGCTCGCTTTTAAGAGCAAACGACCGCGCTTGCTCTCTCACCTCTGACCTTCCCCACTGCCCAATCAGAGCACATCCCCTACCTCACCTCACACAAAACACCAACATAAACAATCTCAACGGCACTTGGCAAACGGCTAGCCACATAATAGCCGCACTTGAGATTGTTCTGTACTACCAGTTCGCATGCACCGCCTAGTCCTGTACGACTTAGTCAACGGAGATAAGCCTAAACCTAGCTCGTCGCCCAACGGGCACCCGCAGGAACTGCTACACGAGTTCGCAGGGATATATTCCGAAGCAGTTCACCGGTAGGAACCGGGAGATATCAATAAAATCCAAAACACGCAATCTCAAAATGCACCTCCCCGGTTGTGGCGCGGCTCCAGATCCCCATTTCGCTCCCACTCATCCCGCTGCATCCGTTCGAACTGTGCCCGCGATTCTCTGTCCTGGCGTATGTCGATGGAGTCCTCGCCATAGCTAGGGCGGCGCGTACTGTACTCGCTCACTGAGTCATCTTGCGTATTGTGCTGGCCTTGCATGACTTGACTGCCGCGAAGCTGGTTGTTGGGTAGCTCGAACTGGCCGTCATTGTATGGCTTATGACCGGGATACCGGACGAACGTCGACATGGCGCAGTCTTCGTCGGCTGTACCGTACTCAGGAATTGGGCTCTTAGGGGTTGTAGGGCTGAGGGGGAAGGCAGTCGTGCTCCGCGGCGAACCAACGAGTGTCGCGTCATTGTAGGTAGACGCGGTACCGTGCCTTGATGCAGCGGCGTCCGAGCCTGCACTGCCGGTTCCCCGGAGATCTGCGAAGTCCTGGATTGATGAGTGTTCTCTCAAGGTGTGGATCCTGTTGCTGAAGCCGTCAGGGTTCATAGCGTCTAGCATCTGAGCGTTTTCGACGCGCAGCTTCTTGGCTTCCCTCTTTTTCTTCCACCAGAGCCACAGCAATCCGAAAACCATGCAGAGGACGAGAAGGACTCCGATGACAATGCCCACGATGGATTGGACGTTGAGCTTGACACCGGCTGGAGCAGGCGCGGGATTCTCGGGGTCACTAGTCGTCGAGTCGGGTGCGGAAGGGAAGGTGACTGGAAGGTAGGGCTCCCATCGTTTCGGGATGTCAATGAGCTCCTTGTCTACCTTGTTGCAGTGGTAGTAGAGACTGTCGAGAAACTCTGTAGCGAAGTTAGTGTTGAGCGACGGAATGTTATGCTTTACATAATAAGACTTACCTTCTCTGCCAATGTCACCGTAGCAAGCGTCGAGAACGCACTGCTGGTTGAACTCCGTGTTATGTTCGAGCGAATTGCTGGCCTTGCAGATGCAGTCGAGGTCGCCCATGAGACACAACGCCTCACCCTGTGGCTTTGTCGTCATGCACTTCTGTGGGATCTGGTCGATGTTAGTTAGCGCGCAGAAGAGCGGGTTTGACAGCGCATACTCCACAGATGGGTATCTGTCCATCGGCTGGCCCCGTCGGTGTTGGCATTACGGTGGTTGTGGAATTGGTGATTGTGGTGGTGAGTCGCGTCGTGGTAGTCTTCGAGGACGCCGCGGAAGTGGTCGCGCTTGTAGCCTGAGTCAGTGTACTCGGTTGAGTAGACGTACTAGGTTGAGAGCTCGTGGTGGTGGTGGGCTGCGCAGTGGTAGAAGTGGAGACTGGGATATGCGGATTGTACTGAGCCCAGGCTCCAGTGAGATCGATCAAGGTCTTACCAATACAGCCTGAAGAGTACTGCTTGAGAAACACTAGCCAGTTATGGGTTAGCTCTCTCACTCATTTTCTAATTCCCTTACTTGGGGCGGGGGCACGGTACGCACGCCTTCTTTTGTCGTCACCGACCAATTCCCTCAATATGCAATCGGCGGAGAAGTACTGGTTGCGACCAAATTCTTGTGTCTTGTCACAGACGCATCCAAAATATCCAAGAGTGTCCCCGCTGTGGCTCTCGCAGTACAGCCATTTGTGTTCGTTGTTCGGATTGTCCGGCTGGTCTGGGTACATGGTCCCTTCTGCTTCTTCCTGGCACTTCTTGGATATCTGAGCTAGTTAGCTGATCTGCAGAAAACAACAGGGTCAAATTCCACATACTTCATATACAGGCGGTACGTATCCGGCCAGGTCCATGGTGGGAGATGCTGGCGATGGTATATCGGAAGCGGAAACGGCATCAGGAGCAGGAGGAGTGTACCCTGAGGGGTTGTTGTTGTCCGCCATGTCTCAACTCTGCAGCCGTGAAGCACTCAAGATGTGAAGAAAGATGTGATGAGAGATGTTTGTTGATTCACAACTTCCACGCCTTCCAACGTCCTCGTCTAGCCCCCTCAGTACGGTGAGTGAGCGCCGGTCAGGCGATCCGATGTCGGTGACCGAGCTGTCGTCAGAAACTTATCTATATACCCGTAGCGGCGATGCTTCACAGCCTTTCTAGAGTAAGTCCAGGGAATCGTGCGGTTATAGTTGAGAAACTAAGGGCCGAAGGTGAGTGTACATCGGTGCTTGCGTGGCAGCAATCAATTGCATTTCGCTCGACTCCAAGAGTGCGCATTGGCGCATTGGGGTGAATGATGGCACCTCGGACTTTACTTGCGTGGCACGCAAACACGACGTTCGTTCAAGTCGCCGCACTCGGCGTGCTGGCAAACAGTCCTCGAACGCAAATACCTGTACAATCAGCCATAAACCACAACCGTGGGCGTTCGAGACAGGAACAAGTACGAACGGGATTCCGAGAAAGAAATCGTCGAATTAGGTAAGTTGATAGCTGGCAGCACTCCTCGATATGCCTCCAAATCGATATTCAGTCATATCCAAAGAGACCCCAGTGTGAACAAAAGAAACCTCGGTCTATAGTTTGTACGCGGATTTCTCGTCTTCTCGATCCGTCTTCGCATGGTATACGCATCTCAGGCGGTCAAAAAGCCAAATTGTTCCATCTGGTATGCCACCTCTTGCGCGTCCGATCTCCATCATCCCATCCAGCCTTGCTTGTCTCCACAACGCGTCTAGAACAAGCAGTCCAAGCAACAGCAGCACGCCAAACCAGCGCACAATCCCGCAAATAGACCGCCACCACCGCCATCAGCCCTCCTGTCGTCTTGGTAGTAGCCTCCTGGGGGCGGCGGGCCCTGCTGGTACTGCATCTGCTGGCCGTTGTATCCTCCTTGGGGAGGTCCGTATTGTCCTTGAGGAGGACCGTACTGGCCCTGTGGCGGTCCGTAGGGGCCAGGCTGGCCTTGTTGGTAGGGGTTCGGGCTGCCGCCGTAGTAGTCGGGTTGGCCACCGCCTTGGTTGTAGTAGGAGGGCTGCATGCCGCCGGGGGCTGGGCCAGCATCTTGGTGCGCTGGTGGGGGATAGGCGGGTGGTGCGCCTTGGTCCTGAGAGAGGGTTAGCACGTGGTTGTGGTTGCGACTGGATTGGATAGGAGATGGGAATGTCGCGCGCATTGCGACAGGAGACGCTAGCGGATGCGAGGCAGACGTACGTATGGTTTAGACATGTTGGTAGTTTGTGAGGATTACAGAGAGTGTGGTGTAAGTGTGATGGACTCCTCGGAAGGCAAAAAGACTGTTACGTCGTTTACTGGGCGGCAAGGCTGGGTAATCTCTTCCAGCTGTCGATCGAACTTTGTTGGGGGTTTGTGCCAGGTGTGAATGGCGATCCTCTGGGAAAAGTGTGAAGAAGGAAGGAATGAAGGGTAAGTAGGGAAGGCAAGGTTTACTGGAGTAAAAGGAAGGAGCGACAAAGTGGTCAGAAGTACAAGTAGAATGCGGAGTTGATCACACACCAGATGTCGCGGCGTACGAAAGAGGGTGGCTGAGCAAACGTGGCGGACCAGCTAAGCCTTGTTCGGAATAGTCTCCATTCGATAGTCCACCGTGAGCGCGAATCGCTATACTCCCAAGGCTTGTGGTACCGTGTTATCCGTGATCATGCATATAGTCGGCTTCGCAGCTATTACAGTATTTCGTAGTCCTACTAGATCAAGTACATATGGTAGATGCATGAACTGCAAATGCATGCAGCACTGTGCCTGGTGAGTAATCGTTGCAAAACAGCGGGTACATCCAGGGGACATGTCAGAAAGTCACAAATGTCACGCGTAAGAGGATGCGAATGTGTAAGAAGAAGAGCGCAGCCAACGCGGGCCGCCAGAAACAAGTAATTCTCTCTCCTCCTCGTTGGGGCCATGCCACCAACCCTAACGCCTCGTCCAGCAGATCCAGACTATAATACAATGCTCTACGTTCCACCCAACATCACCTGCCCGTCATCTCAATGGTATCATATCCACCACCTACGTCCCAGTAAAATAGCTTAGGATCCTTCTATGCCTGCACGTCCAGGCCCTCATTCGCCGGTGCCTGTTGCATCTCCTCGTCCTTGCCCGGAATAATCAACTCCTCTTTTTGCTCGTCGTCAACAAATTTCCTCTCGCTAACGTGTTCTCCCTCCTTGGGGGCGACCCATTTATTTGTAGTGATCTTCTTCTGACCAGGCTCATGCTTATACAAGCAGCGCGCGTTAAGACACGGGTTGAACTTGCACATGATGGCACTGTGTCCAAACTTGCAGCCCTCGACAGCGCAGTCGGCGCCGTTGTGACAAGGCTTTGATGTGGGATGCTTGTAGGGGCACGACGAGGGATCGCGGCAGTTGGGCCAGAAGGCGCACTCCTGCTCTGATTGGAACTTCTGTCGCTGCGCAGGCGATGGGTGCTTGCCGACACACTTCTTGTTCTTGCATGCCGCACCGAAGTCGCACGTATCGTTCATGTCGACCGGGGTTCCGGGTATCGCAGCGGGCGACTGGTGAACAAAGTGGCAGTCGGGGTTGCTGCATCGCAAGTTGAACTTGCACATGGTGGACGAGGGATCTGGGCGGCCGGAAGGCAGTTCGACATCCATGCCGCTGCTGTTCTCTCCAGCTGGGCCATCTGCCATTGTTTCGTCCTCGCCTTCCTTCTTGGTGAAAGTCTTAGCATTCGGGTTCATGCCTCTGCCGCCCTGGTGTGGCCGGTCTATGCGTTGATGTAACGACTTCTTAGGTCCGCGGTTGTTGCCATTGAAGTTGGGGTTGACGAAGCCGGTTGGTTGGCCACCGGAGAAAATCTGCTGCATCATCTGCGCCTGCTGCTCGTACATCTGCATAAGGGCCATTTGCTGTTGCGGGTTCAGGCCGATACCAGGCATGCCATTCTGACCACCCATTCCCGGCATAGGCATTCCTGGCATACCACCCATACCCATACCGTTCATGTTGTTCTGGCCCATGTTCATGTTGGCGTTGCCCATACCGCGGCCGTTTGCCATTGCCTCGATTCCGCGACCGATGTTCTGGCCCCGTGGGCCTTTTGGCGGGTCGCGGGCGTGCGCGTTCACACGACCAACTCCACCGCCGGCGCCACGTACGCGATGTAATACCGAGTCGCTGTTGCGGTCCATGTTTTTGTTAAGTTGGTTGAGCATCCGGCCGCCTCGTGCTGGACGTGCTGCTTGGGCGCCGCTGCCGTTGCGCATAGCCTTGGGGCCTGTAGGACTGTTTACGGTTAGAATCTGCAGGTTTTGATACGAGGAACGTGAGCGCAGAGGAGCCACGGCAAGCTTCGACGTCACCTTGATTTGGCATGCGCGTGATTGCGCGGTCTCCTTGCAGTTTTTCCACGGTTGTGGAGCTGCCCTAAAGGGGCGGGAAAGTAGCGGGTTCACATACATATTGCCTTGTCCTTCTGACGCGCCTTCCATATCCGTATCTTGCGCAGCTGCCGAGTTGTCGTTTGAGGTGCTGTCCATCTGGTTTTCGATTGACTGTGTGACCTGCGCGTTGCCGCCGCTCGACTGCTTGAGGTGCTCGATCTGCTCAAATAACCACTGCGCAAACTGCTGTGTCTCTGTGTTCTCCGGGCCCAGGTCGAGCAGATCGTTTGACAGTTCTGATGCGACCTGCGCTTCGTTCTTGTCGTTGGCCAGCATAAGGAGGATGTACTCGAAAAGCGTCGTGTCTTCGCCGCCCGTCGTCCACCCAAACTCGGCGAGCTTGGGCTGGACTACCTGCTGCAGCTGCATCGCCAGCGGCGACTCGCTCGAGAAATCGACAGCCATGGTGAAGGCAGGCGTTGGTTGATGGCCGTGTCGCGTGAATTGGATGTTGGCGGTGGGTGGAAAACAAAGGGAGCGACGAGGAACGCGACTTCCGTGACGTGTGACGTAAGGCTATCGCGGGTACGGAGTGCGACGGTCGTAAGAGATGTGTCGTCAGTCGTGAAGATGGGTGCGCGTCAAGTGCAGTGGGTTGGAGCGTGGGTGTGGAGAAGGAAGCAATTGTCTCGGAGCGCCTGCTCAAGTTCTGCGCAATCAAAGCTCGGCACTTGCCGCTC